TCCTTATAACCCTTCCCAGATTAATAGGCAGCAACAATTGCTTCTCTAAGATCATTGCTGATGTCTTTACCCTTTGGCATTGTGTTACATACACCTCAATGCTCAAGACCAGCAGACTCCTCAAACTTTGGCATTTATAGAGATAGTCACACTTGCTGATCAATTGATCAAGGGCATTTGATTAGCAGCACCTGGCTGCTACTTAGCCTCTTCATACCTATGGAAGCAGTAAGGGTGTACTTAGTTTTTCACACGTGACTTCTCCTCCAGAACTCAAAGAGAGTGTACTTTCTTTTTCACACGAACACTCAAAGGAATGTTGCTAAGAACAATTTGCTTTTACTTGTATGTTGTATGAAAAGCAGTATATTTAGCACTAGCATGAAATGCTTTAACTATATAGCGCTATGTCAGCCCTCCCAGGTAAACCAGGCAGGAAGCACGACCAGATAGCTACTTCTACTTTACTGATAGGCTACATTAACAGAATCTTGCAAGCCTGAAAGTACAAATCTCCCGCCGTCCCTATTTACCACCTGGTCAGTTAGGGTGGGTTCTTTCTAAGTTTCTTTCTCTGTTACTCAGTTGGGGACTCCTCCCCCTTTTATCAGATCATTCTCTAGGCAGCATCTATCCCCCCATTTTCCAAGGTCATTCACACATTCCATTACCCCTATGCCTATACTGCATAGTACATAAATTTGCAAAGAGCATCTGTTAAATAATGTTAAATAATGGCACAATTATTTTTCCATTACCAGAACACGCTGATGGTTCAGATATCACGATGAATACATATTATCTGAATAATGGTGGAACTTCTTACTTATTTTTGTGCTGTTGACATAGTTATATGCAAGGAGTTATCTTAGGATCAAACTACAAGGATTCTCCGAATTTACAGAAGAGAGGTGCCCTACTGATGTTATTTAAGTTAGAAAAAGTGTGAACACACAAATCAGATTGAGGGGTCTGTGTATCACAAACGTGATTTCTTTTCAGGAGCAAGAATTTAAAAACTGAAATTCCTTTGGGTTCAAAATGAAGAGAGAGAAAGAATGCCTCTACTATACTCCAATTACCTTGGATTTATTCAACTTTCAAATACCATTTCCTTCTGTCTGTCTGTCTGTCTCTCTTTATGTAAAATCTTGCTTTAGGTGAAGCTACTCCATAATGTGGAGTTTCATTTTCCTTTTTAGTATTTTACACTGGAACTAAAGCCAGGCTTGGCTGATCAGAAAGTTTGTCATACTGTCTCTACAATTTTCAAGTCTAGACAGAAAGAGTCAGTTTGATATAGAAGTTTGAAAGTTAGACCAAAGCAAGGAGGATATGGTTAAATCTCCACTTATATGTAAAGCTCAGTAGATGACCTTAACTCCTAGCCTATTTTACCTCCCGGGGTGGTTTTGGAGGGATGTGAAGAATAATCATGTCTGCTACTCATAATTGTGTGGAGAAGGGTTAATCAGTATTTAATAAATATGATTATTTTACTTGGTGTTTGGTAAAATTACAAGAGCTATGAAATGTGACATCAACAAAGAATACTTGGAGCTCAAGCCAGGATTACATAGAACATAATCCCTTAAGAATTCCCAAGCAGGAAGTCATTGTGATCTTGCTACATTTTGACCCATAATTATCTGTTCAAAGGAAGTGTCCCCATCAACGTTTTTCGTGTTCTGTTCAATGTTACAACAAAATGTTCATAGCCACCAAATTTTCCTATGTACCCAACTACTAGTTCTGTGTCAGCCCACTAGGTAGATCAAACCATGAAATCAACTCCCCAGGGAGGTTAAAACTATTTTTATTGAGATTGGCTATAGTAATAGAACCTTGCATGTCTGGTTGTGCTGTTCACAACCTGATTCTTTTTGTTCCTGTGAATTAGGGAGGTGTCTCTCCCTAATTCCTGATCCTTATTGTTTCCTGATTTTTCCTGATTCTTATTGTTCAGTGAATTAGGGAGGTGTCTCTCTGAGCCACCTCCAAACCTTATCTGGACATTCTGGACTTCAAAAATGCTTTTGCCTAGGCAACAGTTTCTGCATATCTCCATCAAGGTCATCTTCCGTACTGTTTACATTCTGCATGATTAGCAATTAGGTTTGTGCCTGTGTGAACATTTGTTTTTAAAGGCAATTGACTCATCCTCAGTCTTACCAAAAATCTTTGCACTTATGGAATTTTCTTGAAAAAGGGATTCTGGCAGTCACCAGCCCATCTTTGTCAAACTCTGGGTTTCAGATTCAATCAGGCTTGTCTCACATATGGCTTACCAGGTCTTCATTATCTTATTCAAAATTCCTTGAATTTTAAAAACAAAATCTATATATCCCTCTTTCAGTTGTCAAATTTGCACTTCCAATTTCTTTCCCAAACCCCTTCTTTTGAGAAAGATCAGCTCCTGAGAAATATAAAAAGAAAACAAAGACTGAGTATTGAAGAATGTAGGGGATTAGATGCCATCCCTTTGTAAACACAGTCAGAAAAAACTAGGAGAACCATTAACTACTAGCTGAGGTTGGGACATGTCAACCGTTCCTGACAAAACCTCAGCTAGCAACCTTTTTTTTTTTTATGTTTGTAAACATACAGTAGTTGCAATTTTGAGAAATGTGGGAATTCCTCATTTTCCACGTGCTAAGTTTTTTATTTGGGAGTGTTATTATTCATACATGAAATGTAGGTTTAATGAGACCATATACAATTTCTCCATCTGCTGTAACATGTAGGTCATTTTGGGGGCTGTTCTGGAATTGTGTTATTGCTTTATAGTTAAGTTTTCTAATGTGCTCCATATTTCTTTACAAATTCTACCATGCAATGAGAAGAAAATCCTGCTGTATTGTAAATCATTGTAACATCTTCCTAATGTTCAGCCTTATCACTCTTTCCAAATTATATGTGTAAATCAGCAGAACGTAAGGAAGATATTTCTATTAATCTTCCAAAGGATTAGGCTATCATTTGAAACAAACTGGTGGCGCAGAGACTTAAATTATTATTTGTAACAGTGTTTTGTTTTGTTTATCTTCATGTTTTTCTTTGTAAACTAAAAAGTTATCACTCAGTTTGCACATATCATAATTGTTTCCTGGAAGTATACATGCAAGCCCCCAAGGGTGTCTCTGTTGAAATACCTCTAAAGATTTTCAAGCTTCCTCATAAATAGGAAATAGTCACCTGAATGTATTTACAACATCCCTCCTCACCCACAGCCCTTAGCACTCAGTGGCTTGGCTTACACTTCACTCTCAAAAAGGCCATTTAAACAGCTAGTAGCTGTATTCACATAACATAATACGCTTGGTTAGCTGTAACTTTCTTAACATGTAGTGCAAACCCAACTTGTTGGCAACTTGAATGAACCCAACCAGAGTGTGATCACCTGCAAAGGATCAGGGCACATGTGAATATTGTGTTTAGGTATCACTAATTATTGATTTTAGAAATTACATTTATTTTTACAACACTTGTTCTTCCTATGAACTGAGTTGAGATTTTTAACCATCTATTCATGTTGACTTTGATCTGAGATTTTTAAAAAAGGTACATTTAGAGCCACAACTTTAAAATAATTTGAAAGTATTCAAGAAACAGTTGAAACCCCAATTATTACTGGTTTCTATGTAGACATTAAAACCTACAGGAGGTATATGACACTCCTGTTCTATAAATAACTTGATAAATTAACAAACTGTATTTTAGTATACAAAATATATCACTATCAAAGAGACATATCATCAGCATATTATAACAGTTAATATTCAAGTCCAGCCATTCTTATACTCAAAATGCCCTCCATTTTAGTGATGTAACAGGCTAATGGTTCCTATATCAAATTAAGATCAAGATGAGATAAAGGACATTCTTGATGATTTCCACAAGACGTCTTGATAAATGAAGAGATAACTTAATTTGTAGTACATTAGCTAAAGAAATAGAGTACCATATTTTTATCTAATTAGTAAACAAGTAGGAAATTTGTATCTTAGAAAATCCTTCTGTACCATATCAGAGGTCTTTTCACATTCAGGAGGTCGGGAAACCCCCACTCTGATTTCACTTTTTCTGAATGTATACCCAGATTGTTCAGGATGGATTATCAAAGATTTTATTGTCCATATTCTATGAGCCAAGGTCATTATTAAAGTAAAGTAAAAACCCTTTGCTTTTATTATATAATGCCTGGGAAAGAGAAGAGACCCAAAATGCTGTCATAGATAGTGTCTGACTTAGACTGAGTTCCTCTTTGTTTAATTAAGGAATTAAGAGGCTGTAAGTAAAACCCATCCTGACCTACTGCACACAATTGTGACAATAAATAAAAGAGCAAGTTTTTTTTTTCATGTATCAAACAAAAGCCTGTCTGCCTTAGTGCTAATAATATTTTAATATTTTATACTTTCTTTCCCAGCCAGTCTTGTATAATTTCCTTCATACTTGTACTTGATTCAAAATGAGTTTAATGGGGTAAAACCTTAAAGTTACCTTAAAGTATATATTTTAATGGATGTGAAGAAAACACGCTTTGCACATTTTCCATAATTTTTGAGGGCAGATTGTTAGAGTAGGCTTGACCATGGCCTATTTTAGAGAATAGATTATTCTCATCAAAGGGATCTTTGTCAAATATAAGTATTTAGTATACAGGCAAAATACTGTAAGAGAACAGGGGCTTTGAAACTGCCCTTACACAGTTAGAACACAGTTAGACAGAAGAAGCATAGAAGTCACTTGGACACAGTCTTCATCACTGTACCAAATTGTTTATAGTAATTATTTCTAAGTGTGCATTTGTAGATATACATTAATATATGCAAATTTAATGGAAATTTTGCCCTCTTTTTGGGGAGTCAGCCAATTCTGTAAACTTCTTTTCCAGGCACACACAGAACCCTTCATAAATACTGGTCACAAATCTATTTCCCCCACCCCACCCCCAGAAGTGGAATTTATATTGCTCAATAAAACTCCTTTGATTTAATGATGAAATAAATATTATAAGTCAAATATTTGTCTTTCACAGGATAGCACTTTCAAAATTGGAAATAATCAGTTTGGATTTGAGACCACTGTGGAACAAACAGAAGATGGAAGATATTTCTTTCAAAGCTCAGAGGTAAATATTTTGTTTTTTAAGAATAATTTACTGTCCGTCGGTCTCTTTCTCTCTTTTTCTCTCTCTGCATCGTTAAACAATAATTAATTATGTCTTGCTTAAATGGGAGTGTAGTCACAATTAGGCTGATTAAGAGGGGAGTAGATTCACAATGAAGTTGATTTCATGTAATATTAGGAAAGTCCTATTTTTCACCTGTCACCTATAATTGGTATAATATTGGCCATGTTCAGATAGCTGTTGACAGTATTTTTGTGTGGAGAGAAAATGGCATTGATTTCCTGTTGGTGTGTTCATAAGCAGACTATTTATGGATGCTCCTTTTGATCTCATGTGGCAGGAAATCTGTCATCTTTCATATAACATATATGCTTGCTGCTATGGATATAAGAAACTGGAAAAGGTTTGGTATTGAAGACCTATTTGATAAAAATGATAAACTTGGCTTTTGATGCCATTCAAATTTTCTATGTCAGCTAAAATGTACTTACGCTAGTCATTTATGTGATAAAACAGATGGTTCTGGAAATTCTCACTCAATGAGCTTTGTATGGGAAGAAGATATATAGTAATGGTGTATACTTACAGAATGCAAAGTATATTTTTGTCTGCTTAATTCATATTTTTCTTAGTTCTTTGAAAGACACATTTCTAAAACAAGGAAACAAAACTACTTATGGATTTTTTTTTCCTTTATAGCATAGCTGAGTATACACTTTGCTTCCATTTTATGTGATCCAAGAGTTAGTAAGTGAAGCTAAATGTGAGAGTCAAGAAACATAGGAGTGCTTTTTTCATATTATTTGTGGTTAATTTATAGAATGCATTACCACAAAATGGATAATTAGAGGGATAGAAAAAGTTTATGGTGCTATGATGACTCCACTGCCAGAGGCAGTATATTTCTCAATATTAATTCCTGAAGAATGGAACTAGTGCATTCCAGAGATAGTTGGCTGGCTATTGTGATAACAAAATACTGAACTACATAAGCCTTTTGATCTGCTTTAGCATAGCTCTTCTCTGTTCCTGTAACAGAGTAACATTTTCTGGTGCATTTATTGGTTTTCTGTTGCACAATTCTTGTTGTTATTCCTGTTAGAATAATATGAGTATGATATAACTGCTTAGGTGACTATTATTGCAGTAGTAGTAAGTCATTTTGCTTGGGATATATGGCTTAAAACATTGGGTAATTTTTGAATTAAATTATTATTATTATTATTATTATTATTATTATTATTATTATTTTCAGATTACCAGTATTGAAAATGAAACTCTACCATTGAGTTTATACATTAAAACGGATAAAGATAAAATAGATAGCAAGTTAATTGGTAAGTATATAGCAACCCAAAAATGGAGAAGAGAAATAAAAATAAATGGGAAATATTTTCTTTATTTCTCTAAAAGCAGTACGTTTTCAAAGTTGTCAGTTATTTAATCAGTGAATGTAAACTTATCAAAAGGATCAGGAAGCAGTCATTTGTATTAAATCAGGATAGGTCAAAATTACTATAATTATTCTTATATATCAAGAGGAGATTTAAGCAGTTGTTAAACATTCTCTTACCATTTGCCAGTAGGGTGAGAAAATTTTAAAAAAAATTTTTTTAAGTCTAATAGTTTTTGCAGTTTTATGAGAGAATCATCTAATTCCTTCCAAGTTCTGATAGATCTCCCCTGAGTCTAGACTGGCCCAAGTTGTTGTTGAAACTAATTCTATGTATAAAAGGCCACACTTTCCTTTCTTTTCTCA